AGAGAGAGAGAGAGAGAGAGAGAGAGAGAGAGAGAGAGAGAGAGAGAGAGAGAGAGAGAGAGAGAGAGAGAGAGAACAAAAGGTCCCCTTTATGTCAATGTGATGGCCCCTGCAGGTACCTCGAATGGCTCCTACAACGCATGTGGAGCCGTTGAGGGCCGCTGCTTCAATGAGAAGGATGGCCTCGTCAAGCGCGAAAGACATGGGGACAGACCACCAATATATGCTGTGGATTCGAGTTCAGGGCTGTAGCGCGGCAGTTATGGGTCACCAGTTCAGCTAGACCCTGTTCGTGTCTCCACATGATTCTCAGGGACTCCCTCCACCACTCACCAAATGTATAATAATATTAGTAGAATGAATCTTCTGCTAAAACATGGAACCATACACCGCCATATGCTATGTCTTTTGTGGATTTGGTGAGTAATGGAGCAGGCCCCACTGGACATATTCGTAAGAAAACAAAAACAAGAAAACGAGAGAGCCACAGGCATCTTCATCCTAACCCATAACTGCCGACATGCAGACCTGAACGCCGATCTTCAGAATAGACATGAAGACCTGAACGCCGATCTTCAGCATATATTGGTGGTTGGCTGGCCATGAAAAACGGGACTTGTGATCTCTGCGAAGCTTCGCGGGGCAGGTCGTTATCAGACGATTACCCCTTCTTGCGAACTTACCCCACCACTGTGTGGGACTTGCAGAAGGGAGCGGGAAGAACATCTTTCATACCCCGCCTAAAAAAAAAGATGGAATGAGCCCTAATTTTTAAGTATTTTATGCTTCGCCATTCTGAAACTTTTGGGGGGAGGGCCTGCGGAAATTGAAATTTGGCAGTCCTTACCCAAAAGAAAATTTCGAGCTGGGGGCGCGGCCGGTTTCCGAGCTCGCGCGGTGAGCTTAACATTTTTGCCGAGTTGGGGGCCCTTGGAAATTACGAAACCCCTACTCTCTTTTTTTTTTTTTTTTTTTGTGGACCTAATTTTTTTCCAGTGCGCTGCGCTTCGGTGCGCTGTGCGGTGCGCAATTCGTGCGCAAATCCGCGCACGGAGGTGCACCGCAACTATGATGAAAACAAACTTACTGAACATTGTTTCAATCAGTGACAATCTGGGGTTTACATGGATTTCTCTCGTTCTTTTCTTTTTTTCTTTGATTGCTAAACTTTAAACATCGAAAATAAGAAAATGATGAGCGAACGGTCTACACCATACTTGAGGCGCATACGTGAGGTGCGCTGCGCAGTGTGGTGCGCTGATCGCAGATGCGGGGGGGGGAAAAAAAAAAAAAAAAAAAGGTTGAAAAAAAAAACAGCAGCAGCAACCGTGATGCATGTATATGCCTTACACGGCGCAGCATAAACCATGCCCAAATAGTCGAACACTGTAACACAGGCTCTCTGGAAAAAGTAGAAACCACATGGCTGATAATAATAGTATAATACCAAATCCAGGAAGCATTCAAATAATATTATGTAACATTGTAATAGTATTTTGGCTCACCGACGGAGTCGCTTGATTTTGACTGGGTTTTTCCATTTGATAACTAAGAAGAAGATTTTTACCCCATGTACAAGTCTAGGTCGTGGCTGCTGCCGTCTTTCACTGAACAGATCGAACCCTCATCATGGCCGTATCGGACCGGAAAGATAGCTTCTATACGTTCATGAGCAGATTCTGTTGTGTTCAGGGGAAGACGATTGGTTTGTGCAGTAAATGTCAATCTAACTGAAAGCCTTGCCTTCTGCTGTCTACCCGTGTGCATGTATAGCAACGAAGCGGAAGAGTTGGGTGTTTGCATGTGAGGGCCAAGACGATGGGCAAGGTGGGAGATAACCCAGAGATTGGAGAAGTGTTGTGTGGCGACTTTTGGGGGTTGATCGGGGGGGGGGGAGAGGGGTGTGCTTTGCACTGGGAGGAGCACGGAGGCTCGCAGGCTCTCACTAGAGGCGGCCGCAAAGCATCTCTGTCGATACTCAGAGGCCATACGCCAGGCACACATACGCCTGATGCACAAAGACTACCAATAGTGATGATATATTCCGATGTTTGTTTCGCAAAGTGCACTCTTTTAGTTCATACTTATGTGACAGTATATGGTCTGACGCACGGATGATCGTTGACAAACAGGTTTTCCGCGGTGCAGTTGGCGGCATCCTTGGATTGTTTGCGAACTTACCTGGCGAGATTGGGAAAGCGGTTTCCAGAACAGTTAACACCTGGCTGATCAAATCTGCAAAGTTCATTGCTTGGCCCAATAGGTAAGTCGGCAGCCTGCAATATCCGTACCAGACTCAGGGTCTGAGTAAATTTCTGTGGCAGAGTCTGTTTTGCAGCTTTTGCTTGGTTTTCTTGTGTTTTTCTGAGTTTTTGCAAATGCATGTCCGTATTTTGTAACTTGCGGAGATGTCCGTGCTTCCGTCTAGTCGCTATTTCTCCGCATCTTCACAGAGAATTCAATGTCACTGAGCCCTTGTGAATGAGCAAAACCAGGTGCTCGAATTTTACAACGATAAGGACGATTGGGCCGGTGTATATTTCCATGTTGTAGCGGAAGATTCCTTATCAATTTGCACATTTGGTGAGTAGTGGTGCGAGGGCCGAAGAGGAAGAAGAAAAGGAATGTGGAGAAAGAGGGCAAGAAACAAGAAGACAGACAGGGAAGAAAAACGGAGACGAATGAGGAGAAGAAAGGAGAGAAAGTCAGATTTATGACGAGGAAGACTATGGCACGTATTTGAGGTCGCAAAAATAAATAAATAAAAAATAAATAGAGGAGAAAGGAGGAGACAAAGGGGGGTGTAAAAAGGAGCAGGCAAAACGAGAAGGAGAGGAGAAAGGAGGAGAAGGGAAGAGAGAAAGTCGGAGATATGATGAGGTGAAATGATCCAAGCACTCGCCAAGTTCAACTTGCATACATCATCAAACATCCACATGAGAGTACCCACATGAGAAGCCAAATCGAGATACAATCCACACTCGAAGACGTCGTCACCAGTATTATTATCAATATAGCGTCTCTGCCGTACACACACACACACAGCGAGTCTCAACCAAGTAGCGGCTATAGCTTCYCYCYYTCTCTCTCTCTCTCTCTCTCTCTCTCTCTCTCTCTCTCTCTCTCTCTCTCTCTCTCTCTCTCTCTCTCTCGCTCCWWCCCTGGATCGTTACCCTGGATACGCCCACTCAGGTATCTTGCACCTTGGCGGCTATGGCCGCCGTCCTCCTCCTATGTCTATCCTAGCTATGGACTAACTCTCAGGCGCCCACTTCTGCCTTGGCCGCACAGTGCCCAAGTTTCCATAGCGCACAAGCAGCAGCAGCGCTTCCGGCATCTCGCAACTGAACAAGTGACGAGTCGCTGCACTGTAGCAGCTAAATATAGGAGTCGGCTTCCCTTGGCTTGGCTTGGTTTGGCCTGCTTCAGACCGGTACCGGTCAGCCGCGGCCTGTCTGCTGCAAACATTTTGTCGGCCCGGTACCTTCCGGACTTTCCTGGGACATGCTGCAAAATTGGACTTGCGGGCTGTCGTACTGGACTTGGACGCTTCTGGACTTTTCTTGTCGGGTACCGGGCAGACCCCTACCGACCTACGACGCTTCGGTACCGACAACTACAACTACAGACCTACAACACTTTGACCTTAGGGTCCTACGGCCGTTCCTTACGGCCTACCCTACGGAACGGCCCTGGGACTTAGGACTGATGAGGACCTTGGGACCGGGACTGGGTGTCTGGAGCGTGAATCCTTTCAGAGGAGGAGGGTGGGACATATTTTAAGGATGAAATGAAAGGACAACAAAGGAGAAGAAAAGAGGAGGGAAAGGGAGAAGGAAAAAGGAGCAAGCAAAAAGAGAGGAGGAGAAGGAGACGGACAAAGGAGGAAGAGAAGGAGGAAAAAGTAGGAGAGGTAGAAAGGAGGAGGAGGAGGAGAAAGAAGGGTGGTGGCATGTATTTACCAGATGAGAATGAAGAGCTCCAGGGTTGTGCACATGAATGCATATCTTCCCTACTTTTTTTTTTATCCTTTTGTCTTTTTTTCTTTTTCTTTTCTTTTCTGGGAACGACGCTCAAATCTACTTCTTTTTAATAGTTTTTATCCTTGATTTTGATCTGCCATGAATTTCTGAGGTATGTGATACTGTACCCAAGAATGAAACACACACATCTGCAGCTGCTACTTCTGCTTCACATGATTTGTATTTGTCCACCAATTTCTTTTGTTCTTCAGTCGGATTTTGTGCAAACTTCAAACTTCAAAGTCAATCAAAATGCGAAACGAATTTAACAAACCCAAAAAGTATAATGATAATATCATAATACTATAATCGTAAACAGCAGTTTAAAAAAGGCTGGAAGAGAGTGATTTCTATTGGGAGTCTGAACATATTCACTGATGTCGGATAGATTCAGGTCTAAAAAGTTATACACTGTATCAAAATTTCAAATTATGTTATCCAACTTATCCTTCAAAAAACCCGAAGAGCTCTTACAGGCGATTACCACAATACTAAAAAATTGCCACAGATT